TGAGCGGCGAGCAGTTGACCAGCTTGATTGTTGCTACCTATCAGGTTTCTCTGAGCATGGCAGTGATGAGTCACACTCACTCACTATGTCACACATACACACACCCCAACATAAACACACATTTATAGCTTGTCTTGGAGAAGACTCAAAGAAACAGGTCAATGAGATTAGAATCTTTATTGTGGATTAACAACTAATTGCCCAACACAGCAAAAAGATAGCAGGCATTTAAAATTGCTGTACAAGTAACTCTGCAGGCATAATATCCCTGCAACTTTTCTTATATGACACCCTAGTGAGCAATGTAAACAGTTGCTTCAAGTGGACAGCAAAAAATAGAATTTTATTTCAAATTCAACATCCTGACTTTAATCATAATTACAATTTCTTAACCTGCTACCTTCCATATGTTGGACTTTATCTACAATCCTATATTAAGATGATCGAAATTTTCTAGATCCAACTTAACACACTCCAATTACTTAATTCTAATTGATTTTTTTTACCACATCAGATAGTATTCAGCATATTTGTTTAAACAAGTGTTCATAGTAGACTGCTTTTCAGGGAAACTTAGCCATAGGTTCCTATACTTATTCCTAAAATTATAATTTTATAAAGTTTGCAGCCATCTCATTAACATACATACCTGTTCTCTTCCTAATTCTACCAGGACATCTGGATTTGTAGTAATTACTGAAAAAGAGAATATGTCAGATTTTTAAAAAATGTTTTTCAAACTTACTTATCTGTCTACCTATCCAACCATTCATGCATCCATCCAGTCAGTGTTGACTCCTGTAACTGCCTCTAGTTATGGCGATTTTCTTAGAATTTTTTTTTTACGAAATGGTTTGCCACTGCCTGCTTCATAAGCAGAAAAGACGGTAACTGGCCTAAGGTCACCCAGTTGACTTTGTGACTAAAGCAGGCCTAAAACTCTTAATTTCTACTCTGGTGTCTTCACAATTCTATCAAAATATTAGTACTCTGATTGAATCAATTTGGGTTCCCAATTTTTTTTCCTACTGGTTCGCTCGTGCGTGCGTGCTTGCAACTCTTCTGCTCATGCACAGAAGTGGCCAGGTGGGTGGGCGGAGTCTCTCCCCGTTGCTACTATCGGTTTGCCTGATCCAGGCCGAACTGAGAGCAACCCACCTCTACAACACGTTTCTTCATTTTGAAACACAAGGTTACTAGTATAGGAAGAGTATGTATCACTCATTATAACTTTAAGTAAATGAAAGTAATGAAAAATCATTCAGGGGAAGTGTTTTATTACTCATTATTTTCTTTCAGAATTGATTATGAAAAATATACTGTTGTTGGGAAACATCATCTAAGAGGATTTTTCTTTCTATCAAAAGCTTGGAAAGAGTCAAGTGGAAGAAACAGACAATCAATCATCTTTGATCATTCTTTGTTATTATTCAAAGATCTTGCTATACTTGCCAGAAAGTTCTGATAACAGTGGCTATCTGTTTGGAAACATCTCAAGCTGACTATTATCTTCCATTCCATAAGCTGCATTGGTTGCCAATTTGCTGGATGTAATTCAAGGTACTGGTTTGATTTTAAAATCCTAAATGGCACAGGACCACATTATTTAAAGGCTTCCCTGTTCCCAATTACATATATCTATCTCACCAGTCACACTCTGTAGTATCAATTCATGGAAGGTGAGATAAGCCTTTCCTTATTAACTTTCTGGAAAGCCCTTGTAACACATATTTTCACCAGCCTGTGGGATCCCAAGAAGACCCTGCAATGTAGCTGGATGAGATTAAGTAATGTTTGTTCTTTTGTTTCTTGAGTTTTGATTATTTATTTTATATGTTTACATTATTTTTATTGTTTGTCATTTATTACAGTTCTTCTGTTGTATATATACTGCCCAGAATCACATGTTACTTAGACAGCTATATAATATACTAAATAAAAAATAAATATTGTAATCTGTTTCATACAAATTTGCTTGTTAAAAAAGACATGAAAGGAAAGGAAAAGAATCCAACTGCTCAGCTTAAATTCTCTTGTTGATTACAGATCATTTAAAACTCAAAAATAAGATGTCAGAATAGTAAAATACCATCAAAAGTAGCACAAAAATAAAACAGCTTTCACTTTAGTTCAGAGAAGGTCATTGGATACAAGACATGGCTGGGGGAAGGAGACTATTACTGAGAGTGTTATCAATGTTAGTGTAGTATTTCACTACTAACAAAAACAAATACAAAAATAGAGAATTGATTTCCAAAGGATATAAGAATAGTAAGGAATAGTGTCTTAAATTTGTTCTTCCAAGAAAGAAAAAGAGACGTGAAATAAAGAGAATCTATATGATATAATTCATATTTTATTTATTAAATTTATTGGCCAACATATGGTAAAGCAGATAAAAGCTGTGGCACTAATTTAGTACAATTATTATATATTCTATAAAAGATACAATTGTATATTCTATACTTCAGATTTTATAACTTTGTATATAATTCAATCCAAGTAAAACAACTTACTTTCTGGTTCTCTTTTTTGCCATTGATTAAATTCAGCCGACAGAGCCTTGAATCGTTTAGTTAACAATGAAAGCTGTCAAACATGGCAAAATGTAAACATTATCTCAATATGTATGTATGCATGTATGTATTTATTTATTAAAGAAATTTGTAGGTCACCCATCTCTCTATCAAGCAATATACAGTGCTTGAAATAAAGTTTCAAAACTACCCCAGTTGAAGCAGAGAGTGAAAAGTATAATCTTCCCCATGATATTTCTTTTATGCAAGAGCTCAAGACAGCATACATAGTACTCCCTCTTTTTGCTTTTTTTCTCATGATGAATACCTTGTAAGGTAGGTTGGACTATAAGAGTCCTAAGTCACACAATGTTTTGTGGACGGTAATGGATCAAAACTTCCTGCTGGTAATCCAACACCTACTCTATCATACCATGCTGTCAATGTATTATACTGTGAAGTTCCATGTTAACCAATGAAACAAATTTTGCAAAATTTCCTCAGTAATTTACCAATTTGCATCAATGGTAAATTCAATCCCAATTGTCCTACTTTCTGACATTTCTTGAGTAACAGAAATCCCATCTCCCCAATTAGCCTTTTGACAAGGTTTCGTTGCTTAGAAAACTTCTGAAACTTCACTCTTACCTTGAGATCTGAATCTGGAAGAGTTTCAACACTTTGAAGAGATAATTTGGTATGGCACTTCAAAGAGGAAAAGGATATAAAAATTAAATGTAAGCTTATAGTAATAAAGCCACATCAATTTTAACAGCACCACAAACAGTGTATATTTTCTGTACTGTTTGCTGCAAGGAGGCAAATTGCTGGGAGGCAGAGGCAGATTCCCCTCCCCTCCCCTCTTATACTTCAGAATGTTTTATACTCCAAAAATATGATAAATCCATTTATATTATATAATGTTTATAGTTTTAAAAATATTCCTAATATTAAAATAACTTTAAGATACAATCAACTTCTATTTATAATTTATTCTATGCCATTATAATGGGAGAACTAATACTTTGATTATATTTTCCAAAAGGTTTTTTGGGAATGTTTATTTGTATCTTAAAGTTAATGATTTTATGTAATGATAGTAAAGTTCATCTTTCTGCTTAAGCTGAGGGAAGGAAAACAAGGAAATTAATAGCAAATATTCAGATGCATAGCTTCACTTATGTCATAAATACATGCAATTATTGCCTATTACCTCCTCCACTTGTTTCCATATTTCTTCACATTCTTCTATGAGTTGTTCTTTGGAATTTTCTGAATCTAATAACATGCTAGATACATCTTGCTCATCTGAAGAAAAGTTCTTGGCAAGTTTCTCAGCCTAGGAACAGTATTATTTGTATTTATTGCTGACATAAAAGGAGCTTGTAAGTAAAAGCAGGACATAAAACAGTTTAAGCAAAACCAGCATATACGCATCAACAGTTGATACCTAAACATTTTTTTTACTATATAACGTTCTTTTAAGATTTTTTTTTTAAACCCAGGTACAAAAAAAGCTCTAAAGAACATTGAGTCTTTATTGATTAGCCCTTGGGCCATATCAAAGTGCAAAGTTCCAGAAACAAATTATTACTAAAATTTGATAAAAGCAATTTAAAATGTAATCAGAATAAAATACAATTTACAATGTAATTGGAATAAAATACAGTCTAAAATGAAATTGGAATCAAATACAATAATTTAAGATATGGATAAAATATGATAAGGTTATATTTTGGGGTCACCCCTGCAATCTACCCCAATCAGTCCCACATATGCAACTCTCAACTGAACTATTTTGTTTAAGTACTGTGCTGTGTTCAATGTTATTTTGTTTCTGGAACTTTGCACTTTGGTATGGCCCAAGGGATAATCAATAAAGACTTAATGTCAATACCCTGATACTCTAAAGAAGATATTACAAAGAAAAATATAATTATAAACAGTGCTACTGAGGACCTTTAGAGCAGGGATTAAGACCTACCAGCTGACTCATAGCTCCCCCGCAGCCTCATCCCAAGTGACCAGGGCTGTCAAATGTTGTTCAGCCACATCTGGAAGACCACACATTCCCCTAACCCTCCCGGACAGACAGCCGTTTCTCAATTCTGTTTCCCTCTTTTCAATGAAACGGACGGAGGCGTTGGTGCCTCTCCACCGTTGCTCTATATAGGAGGTAGTGACCCTCTGAGAGCTGTATGCAACTACCGGTAGATTTCATTTTAATGTAAGTTACGTTATTCTAAGTCTAAGTCTTCTACCCGGAGATGCACCGCCTCCCATCCGACATTACCATAGCAATAGCTCCGCTCCTTCCTTCTGGCCCCCTTTCGCCCCGCGGGGAGCTCCGACACTCGAGGACGTCCTCTCGCGTCCAAATCCGCGCGGGCTGCGTTCCCATTGGCCGCTCGAAAGGCGAGCAGGCGAAGACGTAAGTGCGTCACGACGGGGATGGCTCTCGGATGGCCCTCGTCGATTTACGTCGGGTGACGTAAGACAACATGGCGTCGGCAGAATGTGCTCGCAAAAGAAGGGTTCGAGAAGAAGAGAAGGAGGAAGAGGAGCAGGAGGAGGAGAAGGAAGAAGAAGAGGAGAAGAAGAAGGAGGAGGTGTCTGAAAAACATGAAGGGTCTGAGGAGGAAGGAGATAAAGACCAAGAGCGTTGGGTTGGGCCCCTACCTGGGGAGGCTGTGCAGGCGAAAAAGAGAAGAGGTAAAGGAGGACCAGGGACCAAGCTCAACCACCAGGGTTGAGTTGAGAGGCTGTAGAAATTGAATAAATAAATAAAAATAAAGTAATAATGACGGGATAAAAATCTGATCAATTACAAATAAAAATAAAATTAATCCGGAAGATTCAAGAGCGGAGAAGTACCTAGAGCCCGGTCAATCCTGACACTGATTCCAGACACACTTTCTCGGGGAATCCTACTGCGATTAATGTTATTATATTAATGCCAAGTACAGATTTGCAAGATTGCAACCCAAGTCTAAGCCTGCTGGGTTTTCTAGTCATTGTGTCTAAATCACAAGTTCCCACTCGCACAAATTGATTTAGGGCAATTTTTCTCAATCTGATGACTTTCAGATCTATGGATTAAATTAATGTCTACTTCCTGGACGTGGCAACTGTATCTGCACACTTGTATCTATACACTTGTACCTATAAACCTTTAGGTTTCACAAGGTTAAATCCACTATAGACACACACATATTATGACATTTGTCAGTATTAGTCCTGTTATCAAGATTACTATGTACTCTTACTATGAACAGTTTGAGGTTATTTTTCCCACTGACTCCACTGGGTGTATTATTTGGTTTGTTAGTAAATGGGCCAACACTTTTGATTGGTTTTAGGACTTGTTTAGATTTTTTTTGTAGCTTATTGTATATTGAGAACACCCAACCACTCCATGTGATTAGTTTGTTCACTGTGAAATTCCACAATGCTATTAACTCTTCTACATGTCCTATTAAAGACAATTTGTATTACCCCTACTTATCCTTTCCCTTTTTAAACTGATATCAGATTGTTAAATTAATTACCAGAGTGCCCAAACTCATCATTATTTTTCTTATAAAAGTTTATTTGCTTATTTATTAAATTTGTAAGGTTCTCAGACTTCCTAGCAACTTAGGTGGTTTACAATATTAAAAATAAATTAACAATAATGGAAAGAAATACTAAGTCTTCTAGGCAAAATGAAGCCAACACATCTCAACATACAGTATATCCACCATGGATTCACCATCCAATCCAATCCAAAGGCTTCCCTGGGGGTAGGGGCAATTTAAAGGCTTCATTTAAATAGATCAGTTGGGGTCATATAAATCTCTGGAAGAATGCTTTTCCAAAGGAATTGTGACATTTTGTGGGTCCCATTAAGTTATGAAAAAATAGGAATGTTATGTATGCTTGCTACCTTGAATTCAGCAAAATACATTTTAAAAAGCAAGATAAAAATAATCATTATCATCCTAAAAATGAATTAGAATGGAAGGATTTCAGCCATGTGATCCTACATATATTTCCTTGTTTGTACAGGGTTTAAATTATACATATCTCTAGCTGCGTGTTGCTATTATTGATATTTGCATTGCTCTGACTAAAAAGTCTTGTTAAAGTTTGCTTTAAATCAAATCTAAGTGAAGCATTTTCATTAAAAATGTTTATTTTTTTCATAGTTCTTGAGTTTGAACATGTCTACCTTGATAATCTTCCCAGTGCTTCAATGTATGAACGTAGTTATATGCACAGAGACGTCATCACTCATGTAGTATGTTCTAAGTAAGTATAATTGTTTTTACTAATGTAATGTTACATTGTATATCTCTTTCACAAAGTGTTTTTTGCTTAAAAGTTACCTTAGATGTACAATTTAGCTTCATTGTGGTTAGCTGAATCCTGCTTCAAATTCTATGGAAAGGTTTTCTGAATTGTGCTCTAGAATTCTTCTTTGGGGTAAATCCACATCATAATCCAGAGTTCCAACCCTTATTTGGGTTCTCAAATATGAAATATGAGAGAAACAAGGCTTCTCTCAAAAATGGTACCTTGCACTCCTTTCCTTTTGTTCTAGATCCTTGCTCAAGTTTTACAATTTTATCATACTAAGATCTGAAGCGTGTCTTAAACATCAGTGTGTAAAACTAGGGAAGTAAAACACCTAGTGCATTGGAATCTTTAGAGCTAGGCCTTTATTTCTTTCATATGATTGTATTTGCAGAACAGATTTCATAATAACAGCCAGCCATGATGGACATGTCAAATTCTGGAAGAAGGTAGAAGAAGGAATTGAATTTGTTAAACATTTTCGTAGCCATTTAGGTAAATTATTGTGTATCTGTATAGTATAATTTTTATATTGCCTATTTTTCTTTCTTTGTTCTTAAATATACATTTTCAATAGTAAATGTTATTATAGAGATACGTGTCAGTCTTAACTAATTTTAAGCTTTTTGTTGGATAACAGTCTCTCTCTTGAGTCACATTATTCAGCAGAAGCAGGTAAAAATTAATAGCAATTCTAGTAAGGGATTGGAAATATTACATTCTGCAAAATACAGACATCTGAGAATTTTCTTTTGAATGTCTCAGAATTATAAAGAAGCACTTCTGAAAATTGGTTTTCCAGGACTGTGTTTGAAGCCATGCTGTGATGTCAGAAAATTACTGTGGCCCTCAAATCTCCGTGTATTGGATACTTACCATATAGCAATATCCTACAAAGATCTATTCAAAAGTTTAATAGGAAGAGATAGTTTTTATAGAATTATAGCCATCTTTGAATGTTTATGATACAACTCATTTTTAATCATTTTGTTCAAACATTTTCTTAAATGAAAGTTATTTTTTTAACCTCAATAGGTGTTATCGAAGGCATTGCAACTAGCTCAGAAGGGGCGCTGTTCTGCTCTGTTGGGGATGATAAAGCAATGAAAGTTTTTGATGTGGTGAACTTTGACATGATCAACATGTTGAAACTTGGGTAAATCACTTAATATTTTCAATTATAGTGGTTTGATTGCCAACTGTTTTAATATATTTTTGCCTAAAATGTCATTAGAAATTGATGGATGACTAAGTGATGATTGATAAATTAACTTTTTTCAGTGTGTCAGATTGCACAAAATCAGAGGCAATATATTGTTACTATGGATTTAATTAATCATTTATGGTAATCAAAGCATTAAAGTAGGTTTAATTTCTTGCATGCTTCTGCCAGTGGAAGGGAAAAAGCTATGTATAGTTGTGCATTTTAGGAAACATCAAAAACAGAGATGCTTACTTTGGTTAGTATCTACGGAGATTTTCAGTCATCTGAGTCATGGTTGTTCCAAACCTGTTTTTTTCAGTGGCAAGTGGGCTTTCTGGTTTTTCTTTGAAGATGTTTTGCTTCTCATCCAAGAAGTTTCTTCCAGCTCTGACTGAATGGTGGGGACTTTACTTTGATGAGCTTTACCAGCACTTCTGAATATCTCCAGAGTTGGACTGCTTTAAGGATAAAACGAATAGTAGGATATGCATTGAATGATTTAGTAACTAATAAATATTATTACTAATGAGGCTGTAGTGTATTGTACTTTAGAAATACGTTAATTTTTTCTGTACATTTTGATCCTTTTAGTTTTTAAAATTTGTTTTGGAATGTTAAAAAGAGTCCTAATATTATGTCCATCTCATTCATTCTAGCTACCATCCGGGCCAGTGTGAGTGGGTCTATTGCCCCGGAGATGCTATCTCTTCAGTTGCAGCATCTGAAAAGAGTACTGGAAAAATATTTATATATGATGGTCGAGGCAATAATCAACCGCTTCACATTTTTGATAAACTACATACATCCCCTCTTACTCAGATACGACTGAATTCTGTTTTTAAAATCATAGTATCTTCTGACAAGTCTGGAATGATTGAATATTGGACTGGTCCTTCCCATGAATATAAATTTCCTAAAAATGTGAACTGGGAATATAAAACAGACACTGATTTATATGAATTTGCTAAATGTAAATCCTACCTAACCAGTATGAGTTTCTCCTCTGATGGCAAAAAAATGGCTACTATTGGCTCTGACAGAAAAGTCCGGATTTTTAGATTCTTAACAGGAAAGCTTATGCGAGTCTTTGATGAATCTTTGAGTGTAAGTATTTTTTTCCTTATATTTATTCACTTTCCAATAGTTTCTTTTAATTCTTTCAGTGATGAGATTATCTGTATTTGATTATAAGAATTCTTTTGTAAGAAATGGATTTTCATTGTCATATTTAGCCTGTAGCAGTTTTGTGTTACTGATATGTTAATAAGAAAATGCCACCATTTGGCTCCATTTTCTTTTTCATATTTTTGAAGTATATGGATTACTAGATTGTAAGTAAAGATTCTAATAACTAATGCTGTTAATATTTAACACTTTGAAACAAACTTTACAGAAAGTTTAAATCATAAAATAATTGGGTTTGATGTAATCTTAGAGGGCATTTAATCCAGCTCAATGCAAAATCTATGCAAAGAGTTTCTTTAAAACATTATTTTCTAAGGGTTTCCCTCCTGCTAAAACAGCTTTAATTCTTTGATTAACTAGAATAATACAATCCAGTATATGAGTTGATACATAGCAAAATTCAGTAGAAAACAAAATAATCACAACTAATACAGAAATAGTAATTTCACCATCAACTCCCTCCAGAAATTATTAAAATAAAATAGTACTGTCACAATGCTATTACTATGATAGTAATAAGCATACTGATGATAGTTCTTAACTAAATGCCCTTCTAAAAAACTCAAGCTTTCTTAAAATTGAAACCTAATGGGGCCATTTGGACTTCTGTTTGAAGGCTGGTTCATGGGTAGGGGCCACTACTGAGGAACAAGAAACTCAAACTTTCTCCTGGACCTCACATATTATGCAATTATGAAAAGTCTCACATTAAGTAATTCTATATTTATTCATCTTTAAATATAAAATGTATGTATATTATGCTGAAATTTTCTGCTTCAAGGGCAGTTTGGGGATGCAGTTAATGCCAATAAATAAATTGACAGTATTGAATTAACAGTAATATTTCATAATTATTTTTTTTATTATATTTATTGTAAGTCATTTTATTGTAGTGTTTATGTAAACAATACAATATCCTTGATGGTGATGGGCATTAATAAAATGGTTAATATACAGTAGAAAATTCCGGTTTATTACCTTTTCCTTATGGCTAAATGTCATCTTGTAGATGTTTACTGAGCTACAGCAGATGAGACAGCAACTCCCTGATATGGAATTTGGACGACGTATGGCTGTGGAGAGGGAATTGGAAAAGGTGGATGCTGTAAGGTTAATTAACATCATTTTTGATGAAACTGGACATTTTGTGCTCTATGGGACAATGTTGGGAATTAAGGTTATCAACGTGGAAACAAATCGGTAAGTTGAAATTCTGCTTATTTCATTGTAACTAGCATATTTTGTAATGTTAGGAAATTTTTCTAGAGATCTTAAAGCATTCAACCTCAGCGTTCCTATTTTTAACAGTTTTACGTTTATGTTTGATATAAATATTCCCTCACATAAACATTGCAAATCAGAATTCTGTTGGATGTTGTCTTATCAAATATAAATGTATACATTTTAAGTAATTACTCCAGGATATAGAAAAAAGAACTAAAAAAGAACTAAAAAAGAACAAAACACAACAGAATTTTTTTTTTAAATGAAAGTGTATCATGTAAAAAAGTTTTTCAGTCATTTTAAACACTTTATTAAACCTTGACCATTTGGAATAATATCAGTCTTTTCATTACACTGATAAAGAGCTGGTTAATAAAAACGTGATCATAGATCATTACTTAAGTTGTTTAAAAATGGTTTACGGTTGTTTAAGTTGTTCCCTTCACCACTGATTTTTGAAAAGTTGGATATTTGATAAATTTATTTAGCCACTCATCTGACATACATTACTCCACGCAGTGAACAAATTATTAAAGAATAGCAGAACAAATAATAAATAACATAAAAAGCATTAAAATACTGAAAACAGTAAAACCATTGAAACCATAAATATAATTTGCAGAAAAGCACAGTCAGTTTTCTCTAACAATATACTATCTTTGAGATTCCATATTCACATTACTGAATACTTAGGCAGATGACAAAGCCATATTTTCAGGTCTTTCTAAAAGGTTATCAAAGTCAGAGCCAATCTGACCTTAGGGGGAATTGTGTTTTGTAAGGGTAGTGATTTAAGAGCTGACCAGCTGCTACGATGATGCACAGATGTACTGATGGGAATGAGTCAGTAAGGTTTTTGGCTCTTCTTCCTTTAAGAACCTGTATAATAAGAAGAGACCCTGTTAGCGTGTCTCTCTCTTGCTATGTATGTTCCTCCTTGCTGTAATTTACTGATTGTTTGACTGCTGCCTATAGTACGTGCATGTATAGTATATATTATTTTGTAGATAAAAACCTACTATTTATTACAAACCTGTTTGCTGTTATTGCTCCTGGGTTGTCTCACGTAGTAATTTGTGCACACTGATATATTCCAAAAGATGGGTGCCCCTGCAGAAAGGCTCTCCTACTGGATCCTGTCAGATAGCAATAGCAGTTAGCAATAGCAGTTAGACTTATATACCGCTTCATAGGGCTTTCAGCCCTCTCTAAGCGGTTTACAGAGTCAGCATATTG